TGTTGCTGTGACTATGGCAGCAGGCCGTGGACCAAAGGTACTGGCTACAGTGATCTCAGTCTTGCAGAGCCGTGGGACGTGCACTTTTAGCCTTTCTCTGGCTGTCTCCAGAAGCTGTGAATGAAGTGGCTTTCTGTTGAGCTGTGAAGGATCTCGGTCGGGAGCTGCTGGGGCATTAAGAGGCATCTCGGGAGTGACTCGGAGCAAGAAGCCGATAACTGAGGGTTCTCCTGGAACGGCATCTGATCTCTGTGAGCTTGCTTGCTGCTTCCTCCTCTCCCTGGCGTGTCCCTGGAACCACAGCAGTTCAGAAACAGTAAAGCCAAGAGAGGTGGTAGCTCTTGCTGTGTTTCTGGGCTTGACGCTGGCTGAAATATCCCCCCTTACCCCTTCGAATCCGAATCTGCTGTTTCATCCGCTGCAGCAGCTGCGACGAGTTTGCATTCCCTGAAGTTTAAAGTTTGCCCAAAGTGATGCTGAGGAGTCTGGAGAAGCATCTTTCCTCCTCTGTTTAAACGAGCGAGTGCTCCTGCGCTCTCTCAGCCCCAGCGAAGGAAACGCTCCGTCCTGCGACAGCGTGGTCTGAAAATGTGACGCTGCGCGTGGCCCGGGTCTCCGGCGCGGGGGTCGGTGCCCTGTGAGCTGGCTGCGGTCACTCAGGAGCTGCTGGGACTTCGGCCTTGCCCTGCAGGGTGATCTGTGTCCTTGAACGAGACGCAGTCGTGTGGATCTTGGAGCAGCCTGGGAAAAAAACCCTCCGATTGTCTGCCTCTGCCAAGCGCTGCTACGAAGGGTGCTAACAAATCCTGCCCTCCCTTTCTTCACCGTCACCTCTGGCCTCAGTTTTGGTCTTGGAGGAAAAGTTTGTTTGTTTGTTTGTTTTCAAAAAAGGATTTGGCTTCCAGATGAAACTAATAACTGAGCTTCAAAACCTGTAGAAATACCTCATCGGACACCACTCACTACTGACCTGGTGTTGTCGGGGCAGTGGTTATCAGGAAGGGGGAGCTGCCCCAAGACGTGCTGAACCAGCATATCCTGACCCGTGGTGAAACTGGAGCGAATCTTCTCTGCAGCTACTGTCCCCGCTCTGCACGGGCACCGGCGTTCAGCCCTCCGCAGCCGCCGCTGCGCCCCCTCCCCTC